AACATGTTTTATAGCCAATACAGTCTCTTGTAGAAAAGAAGGGGAAAATCCTGACTAGACAGAGGGATTGCAGAGAGAATCCATATTCAGGGGAAATGATGTTCTGGCTGTAGACAACAAAATAATGCTGTCACAAAAAAGTGCCAAAAGCCATGTAAATTTGCGGTAAGAGGGTCATCACTTGTAAAATAGTCAAGATAATTACGCTGCTGTGCTTGGCACTGGTTATCTTTCATTTGGATGGCTGCATTTCATTTCAGGCACAGAGACAAATTGGCAGAGTTCAAAGAAGAATAACAAAAAATGATGAAAAGGGTTGGAAAAGGAGACCTACGAGATAAGGTTAGGGAAACTGTGTATAGCTGGTCTGGAACAAATTAATCTAAATGGCAGGAGGGAGGATTTAGGTTAAGTACAAACCAACCTTTATAGCTTTAAGAAAAGTTCAGCCATGGAACAAGCTGCCAAGGAAGGTTTTAGCCTCACCATCACTAGAGATACTAAAAGGCAGGAGACCATCTGTCAGGGGGAGTTTAGGGATTAAAAAATAAAAAAAAGAGGAAAAAAAACCACCACCACAATTTAAGAGTTGAGCTAAATAACCCATTCGTGGCTAGACTTGAATGGAATAGCAGTAGCATGGCTTCTCTTTTTAGGGTAAGTTCTTCAATCTTTTCACTGTGAAGATTGTCTTGATTGAATAAATCAACACAAGTCAATTCTGCTGATTTCAGATTAGGAAGGATATCTGCATTTCAATATTTACAGGAGATAGATTTCTAAACATTAATTTAATCATATCAGTAATGCACTCTCCTTTCTTTCCCATTAGGCTTTGAACATGTGTATAGAGCTGATATTAAGAACATTTAATTTAGGTTAAACCATAATTAAAATCTGAGGTTTGTTTTATCCCTTAATACTACAAATGAATAATGGGCCAGCCCAGGCATGTTAAGTGACCAGGGGCTTGTGACAGACACACTGAAAAAGATTTCAGATCAAGTCAAAAATCAGGTGAGTGGCAAACGGTCAGTAATGGCTATAAAGGTGTTTCTGCACTGCCATGCAATTACGTCAGAGATGACATCGAAGCCTGAGCCTCTCTCACAGCCTCACAGCCAACTGCTGATTGTCAGGAGATGCCTTAGAAGCTTCTGCTTGCTGCAGGGCATCTGCCAGCACGTGGGTCCTAAGGAAGCATGAAGCAGCCTCGCCCAAATGGCTTTCCATGCTGATCCAGCTGACGGCTGGGACTTTGTTTTGGAAGTTTCCAGTCAGCTGCCAGGTCTAAAACAGGAGTTGGAAGGTAGTGACTGAGGGTAGTAGAGGGCACCTAAGATGCCCCTCAGACACAGAGGCCTCTGGTTGTGCCTCCATGAGAACACCAGCACTGAGGGCTAGCTGTGCACCACAGCCACGTCCTGAATGTGGGCTGTTACACGCCTGCCTGAATATCACATCCTCCCTCCCCCACATCCTCCTCAAGCTCCAGTTTTGGTGAAGGAGAAACAGTGACATGCTCCAGCTGGTCTTCTGAGGTGGAGGAGGAGGGACCATGGCCGTCAGCAACACTCGCCATCTTGCGTGGGAACACTCCCATTCTGCTGCGTGGTGCCTCAGGATCCTCGGGGGTTGGGGAATCCCAGGATGGCTTACATGGGATCCTGACCATGGTTAGGGTGGGGGAGCCCCAGGAGCGGGCAGGGGCAGTCAGGCCTCTCAGGGCACTCATGGCCCTGACATGACCTTCCTCTTTGTGTGGGTCTCAGGGAACCTTCCATACAACTAAGGAGCAAATAACAGGCTTTGTCATGTAGAAAGCACCGATACGACATCACCCCACTTTTCGTCATCCTCCTTTTCGAGTGAAGAAACTCTGCTCTGAGTGTTAATGCAAGACATGTTTCTACGTTCTGCAAGACCTCCAGTTCCCCACCCCACCCAGTTCTCCAGTAGGCTACCAGTCTGAGGAGTGCTTTTGGAAAAGGTTGCATGGATAACTCTGCACCTCCAGCAAGCCACAGGTTGGCTTGGGCTTCCCTTTCTGTGTTATGATCCACATCCTTTGCTGTTTGCCTCATTTGGGCATTATTCTGCTTTCCGAGAGCGTTTCTTTACTTCTAATAGTCTCCTTTGCTGTTTACTTCTACAGGTTATTTTACGGTCCAGGAACGATGTGAACAAAGGATTTCTAAGGCTCAGGCAATTGTTCTGATCATTCAACTGTAGGTTTTTTTCTTCTGGGACAATCTGACAGTGATTTGGAGCAAAGCAGAATGGATGTGTCTTGGGAAGGTGTGGGGGGTGTGTGGGGGGAGTGATAACCCTGTTTTCTGCAGAATCTACAGCTCTGAATAATCTTTCATGCTACCCACGGGAACCTTTGGTTTACCAGCACAGATATCCACCTAATTTAACTTTTGCTTTCCACAACTTGGTTACTCTCAGCTAGGTAGTGCTAGTTAACCACTGAGCTCAGTGGCTGTCTGGAAGCTAAAAGACCCATATAATACCTGCAATGTTTAAGTGTCCTCTTTCACCCATCTTAGTGAAGTTTCTGGTTGAATCAAACTCCTTCCCTCACCTCAGTTATCCAGATAGGTCTTTGAAAAGTATGAGTTAGTGGTAAGAAAGGAAATTAAATACTGCCACCTTGTATATCAACAAAGGATCGATGAAAAGCGAGACATGGAAGCAAAAAAGCTCTCCTCTCCTGGGAACATGAGCTGAATCTGTGATGCAAAAACATTTTCATAAAAAGGAAATTCCATGGCAGGGACAGCCAAAATTAATCCAAATCCCATGCCAGTTCACTATATCCTCATTGTGTTTCACTGTATATTAAGACCATATTTGCAAGATGCACTCTGAACTTCACATTAAAGAATAGCCCTGCTGCTGAAAAAGCCATAATTCATTTGCTAACAGCCCTTGTTGCTGTGCTTCAGTAATGTAATCATTTTCTCTGTGTCCCAACCATATGATTATTCCTGTTGTGTAGGAAATTTAAGTCCAAGGAATGTCAGATCAAATATAAAAGCCCAGTGGTTACCCATAGTTTTTATTCAATTAAGTAGCCATTACAGAGCTCATGCTATTGCAAATGACATAATGCAGAACACAAATGCAGTCCTTTATTACAGATATATGTTCATCTAAACAAAATGGCACCAACACAATCCAAACCCATTACAATTTTTAAATTATTATGCTAAGGTGATTATTATATGGTGAGCAGTCTCTGTGAAAGACAAGTGGGGAATCCATAACCTCCACAAACCACACTTTGAGCACAGCAGCAGTGGTATTTGAGGTTTATTTGTGAAATTCCTAAATGCAGAGAAATAGTGCTGTTAAAATATGCTCCCAGAAAGCACTGAGCTGCAGCTTGGAGAACTCTGACTTGGCAGGTGATGCATAGGGTTGGGACCTGACCCAGACAGAGGCGCATAAGGCAGGGCCTGGGCAGCAGGTTGGTGTTTATCCTCGAACTAAGATCTAAAAAGCCCCATCAATTCTCACCTAGTCTTGCTGTGCCTATTAAGCACCTCACAGGTCATCTCTGCACGTGCCTTCTCCATTGCCCACGGGATCCGTAAGGATTCCTCTGCTCAGCATCTCTGGGGGCTCCTCCTAACCGGCACAGTCCCAGAGCTCCTATCACCCACCATCAGGTGTGGGCTCCTCACTGAACTCTTGCCCAGCACAAGTGCCTTAACCTGCATGAGGCTGAGGGCCTGCCCCTTGCATTCCCGCAGCCCGCCTTGCAGGTACAGTTCTGCACTCCTTCAGCGCTGCTGCTGCGGTGGGCTCTCACGGGAAGTGCCTGCCACCGGCGTGAGAACCTGCCTTTCCCTCTATTCCTACCCCTGGGTCGCAGCTTTCTGATTACATGAGGGGACTAATGATATATGTGTCCTTCTCCCTGGTGACCAGAATACTCCAGTGGAAGGTGGGAGATGAAGAAATGAATCCCTCCAGGCAGAGCTGGGAATCACACCCACATCTCCCACACCAGAAGGAGCCCCAGCTCCAGGCTGCTGGGCTAAAGGCAGGCAGGCTGTCCCCACTCAACACGCCGGCCTCCACCAGCCGGAGGTGAGCCTCACAGTTGGAGAACTGCTGCAAACACCAATCCTTCAGAAAACGGTGCCATCTCCAATTTCCCTAGAGGCAAAGATACCCACTGGAACCCCTAAACCTGCTGATGAAGCCAAAACGAGGGTGAGATTTTTCTACCTGTCTCGATGTAGCGCATGTCCCACTTGCTCAGTCCAGATAGCTCCTTTTTCTCAGCGCAAGGTGCGTGTTTAAACCTTTTCTGAACCTTCCTGGTGCGCTCTATGGGCTGCCAATTCCCCATCACCTCTGAAGCCAGGCAAGATCCTTGTTTATACCCAGCCTGAAACTGGTCTGTTACTGGTTTACAACAGGAAGAAACCAGAAATACTTCCCGATTCAAAACAGACATTGTTGCGGATGCTTTTTGTTAATCAAAAACTGGGCTAATACAGTGATAAAGTAATACTGGGCTGATACAGTACAACGTTGAATACAGAACAGGTTGAATACAGAACAGTGCAAATGGCGACAGGGAGTCTGTTATAATTTACTCCTCAAATACTGAAAATAATACAAAAAGAGAGAGATGGCATAGAAATAGTTACTGGTTGTTTAGAGAGTGAAAAGCTGCATCAAAAAGAGAGTCTAGAGGGTCAGTTTCTATTTTTACAAATTAAAAAAAAAAAAAGAAACCCAAAACCAACCTTCCAAAGGTTTCTGGAATTGGGTTTTGCACTGTGTCTGATTTATGATTTTTTTCCATGACAGTCAATGTGGTCCCAACTGGGTAATTCTGAATGTTACCATGCAAAGAGGAAGGAAGGACAGGGACAATTTCCCCACTTAAGCCACTTTATTGGCATAATTGCAAGACAAAACCAAAGCGCTCACTGCTTCCTACACCTCTTCCCCTCATGCCAGCTCCTCTCTGCAACTTTTTCCTTTCAGCTCATTACGAGAAAGTAATTTCATTGTCACATTTGGCTGGCAGCTGGAATTCTCCAAATGAGGTAAGCAGGGCTGAGATGCATGCTCTCATCCCTCAGCAAAAACCTTGTAACATACGGTGTTGTTATGTCTCCAAGCTTTACATGAAGAGGAAAACAGGCATCTGGGCTGGGCTCATTTGCAACGCTGTGGTTGCTGGATTAATATGAAGAGACAGATGAAGGCAGACACTTTAATTACTTCACCCTAACTTTTTATTACAACATCAAGTAAAATGGTGAGTTACAGAGGATAATGGGTGTGAAACATCTGGGATGAAGTCACACACGAGCTCATGGTTTGTTATCTGCCAATGGGGTTTTAAATATTGATAATTTCTGTACATGCATCTTTGTGTTTGTCGTGTTATTTCTGATTTTCTTGATAAATCATTTCAGGATTACTTTAAGCTGTGAGGTAGCTACTAAGACTGGGACCCCGCTTTTTTCTTCTGGAATTTTCTGAACTGGGACTGTATCGCCACGGCTGCCCGCTCTGTCTCTGGCGCGTCCATGTCTATGTCAAATTCCTCTTGAACCTTCTTCTGCCCATCTGCTGAAATAAAACAAAACAAAACATCAACAGTTCTTTCAAACGCTGACAATCCCTGGACAGCACAGGTGAAAAACCCTGCCCCTCTCCCCTTCGCAGACACAGCCATGACAATGGGGAGAAAAAAACCTGGGACCAGTTTCGGCAAACACAGCTGATCAAATCCCCAGCCCCTCCCTACGGTAGTGTGACAGCCCGTTGGCAGCTGGGCATCAAGGAGTGACATCCCAACAGCACTTGGCACTCACCAAGCATCACTCCAACATCTGAGCAAGTCCTCTCCTGCCCGGGAGCTAACAGTGAGGGGCAGAGGGACCCTCTTGTACCACCCTGCAGGTAGGAGTTAGTCATATCCCCACGTTTACTTCAAAACAAAGGCACCTTAAATATTTTAAAATAGGGATTAAGACCCAGTTCCTATCAGACCTCCAGTATTAGAGGAAGACATAATACTTCCTAAGACAAATTTCCATCCTTCTCACTTGTTTCCTGCCTCATCACTTTCAACACATACCGCTCTGCCCCTTTGAATCATTTATGTTCAATCTCTCTGCCACGGTGCTGCTTCCCTCACTTCTCTCCGGGCTCTGCTGTTCCCTTTCAGCCTCGATCCTTGGCTTGTTGCCTTCCTTTATTCCCAGTCCTCAGCTTTTCATCCAACTGCATTCGGCCTCCACGTGGAGAGCCCAGCTGACTTTGCTGAATTTGGCTTCCCCCACCTACGTGTTAAAAGCGCAGCCCTGGGAGAACTCCTGCCCTCGTAGCGAAGATAACCCTAATCTGCCCGACCTCACTCCACTAACCTCGTCATACCACTGAACCTCTCTTCTCTATAAACTCCTTACTTAAACTCACTTATATACAGGTTGTAGCCCAGTCCTGCCATGAACGTCACACCAGGAGCCTGCAGGCAGCTCTGCTGAAAACAGCTGTGGGAATTCACCCATTTTGAACCACTTTCCTTTTTATTTGTGAGATTAATACCTCCATGATGCTCATCCCGAAGTACTGTTAATGCAAAGCAAGGGAAATACTTTCAATGTATTATTAAAATGAAACTTGTTTCCCACCCTCTCTCTTTCCCACTGGAAAACAGGGATGCCATTTCATGATTTTAGCATGAGTCTTGTAGTACTTCTTGCCCTTACTTCTTGTTCTTATTCAGAAGTCAATTTTTGTGTCCATTTTCCATAACCAGAAAACACTCTAAACCAGGCAAATATTTAAAGGGAAGGTTTTGGCATATTCCATACCGATTTTATGTTAACTACAATAACCAAATAAATGCACCCATGTTAACACAAGATAAATGTTCACTTAATATTTTGATTTACTTAGGAGAACATTTAAGAAGAATGAAGAAAATGTAAGAAGAAAGTCTGGAGGGGAAGGATAGCTTGACAGCTTGCTTACCAAAATTCTGATTATGAGGTAATGAAAAGTTAGGTTATCAAAATGAAGATTTTATGGAAGAAAATGAATCATACTAACACTATGTCACACTTCCACAGCCATTAAATCGAAGAATCTGCATGGTCTGTGTATCTATTCAAGCAACACAACCACTTTAAGCACAGAAATACAATTATTGCCTTGTTTTTCATGGGGAAAGGGAGATGAAGGTCAGAAGTGACTTCCTTATGTCCACAAGTTGTTGACACAGCCAAGGAGAAAACTGACCTCTCCCTTTAATGCCATGTTACATACTGAAACTTAGTGTGGCTTGTTAAAAGAGATTTCTGTACCAGTTCCTAAAGCTATAACACAACAATGCTTTCTGAAAATATTCCTGTTGCCAGACACCATCTTCTCCATGTTGCTCTGTACACAGCAGTGAAATGGAGATCATTTTTAAATCAAATTTCAAAAGGAATTATCATTTTCCCAACAGCTTAGTACCATTTTGTTGGTATTTTGGGGGCTTGGTTTGATTTGGTTTTATGGGTTAAAGGGAACTAAGACAAGAAATCATAAACAAACCAAAAAAGGACTTAGAACATCTGGGGGAAAAAAAAAAAAAAGAATTTTCAGTCAGAACATGTAAATACAGGCTTTTCATTTGAAAGTTTTGAGTGAAAAAAATCAGTTGTAGCTCTAACAGCAATCACTTTGTGATATCAGCAGTAAGAAGGTAAAAACTGGTTTACTTGTCCGTGTCAGAATCTCACCTCTATAAACAGGGTCCTATTAGCTTATTCTAAAGAGAAGAATATCACTTCTGGAGAAATACTCTCATTTCTTAAGGAGAAATACTTTATCAAAATGTTTATACTAGTAAGGTAATAAGCATTTAATCATCTTTGAAATTGATGAGACTAATGTCTTCTCATGGCTTGATGATTTTCATTTTTGTTGTGACATTGTGAGTTTTAGGTTCCTGCCTAGCCACTCACTAGACAGAGCTGTCAGTCTTAAGAGTAGAAAACAAAAGTAGAGTTTCTGCATCAATTTTAGCTTTAGAGTATATAAATTACTGTCCCTTGGCACTGTCAATAGGGAAAGCAGACGGATAGATGAGTAGACACAATTGGTTTCATACCTCTTGATGAAATCTGGCTTGTACAACTCTCTTCCTATTACAGCCAAGCCTTAGCAGCATGTTAAGTTGCAGTCGTGACTCAGCAATCTTATGTTAAGATTTTACAGACTTAAGAAAACTCAGCATTTAGTATATTTTTTTCTCTGGAATTTCCAAGACAGTTAATCTTTGCTTGATGTGAATCATCATCACCGTCTTACAAACAATTGCACTACAATAATTTACCATATCTGAAGATCTATCAGACATCCCCTTATTTTCTGAGTTGTTCTTGCCAAAATCAAACCCAAAATTCCTTATGAACTCTTTCTGTATTTCTCTTTTAACTATCACTAAGGAGAAATGGTAGGATGAGAAGTTTTCAGCCATGACTTAGACTTTTAGATTAAGAAATCAGAAGTGTTCAAAAGGGCCAAGGCATTTATATGGGTAATGAAGAAATTAACTGTTAGCTTACAGATGTTACAGAAATATATATATGATTACACATATACGCATAATGTACATCACAAACCAACGTGTATCTCATCTATATATAATGTATAATACATATGTGTCTTTTCTTTCTCCCTATGCTCATCCTTCTCTTACTTTTTCTCTATACATGTATGGCATATCCACATTTGAATTATACAGAGAATATATATGGAAATACACAGACATATTTCATATGGGATGTTTCCTATATTTTTGGGAGTGGATTTTCTTGGAGGTCTCCCCAAAACATTTTCTATTGATGACTGTCACAACACAGATACTGTAACAGATGGACTGTCAGTCTGGAGAGAGAATTAAGTGATGTGCCTCTTTTGGCTTCGTCTGTGCTAAGTGAAAAAGATTTTAGCTTCTACCTTGAGTTGCTTTACTAAAAGTAACCTAATGATTTAAAATTAACTAAGTACACTGTTTTTGTTTTACTGGTTAGTTAGAGTTAAGAGCATAAGTTCCAACCCCCCATGGCAGGGGTTTGGAAGTAGGTGGTCTTTAAGGTCCCTTCCAACCCAAACCATTACGTGAGCCTATGAATTAGGAACTGACCCACTCCATTAGAGTGAAAACCCAGCCTGTGCTTGAGATGACCTCACTGTACCAACACAAGTGACTGAGAGCCTTTTTGCACCCTTCCTGCTATATACGCACCTATGCCACACTGGTTTTTACTTGTCAGTAGTTGTTCATGTATCTCAAACATGCAGGTTATTCAGTTTGAATGCTCAAATCATGAAATTTATGCAGAGAACTGAAAGCAAGCCCATAGAAATGTCTGTTGAATTTGATTCGTTGTCTCCCACTCTTAGCTTTCCTTTCACAAGGGCTCAATAGCTTGGAAGTGATCTGAAAACCCAGGAAATTCCCACTCTCGGCAGTCCAGCGCATAGATAAGCACTTGCACAGGCTTTACTCTTGGACTTGCTTTTTTCATTCCTACCAATGAGGGCCAACCCTTCTGTGACAGCAAGCCACCTTTTCCTAAGCTACCCTTATGTAGCAATAAAGGTAGATCTGGATTCCCTCCGCATCCTCAGTCACACACGCTTTTGTTGGTATCTACACTTCCTAGACTATGTGCGGATTTCTTCCACGTGGACATCTGAGGATCCTTGGACTACCACAGGTGCACATAAGGAAACGAGGAGGAACAAGGCTGCTGTCCGTAGACTTCAATTCACAAGCTACTTGCGATTTTGAGGGATTCAGAAATCAAAAAGGGTTAATAAGCACTGGCCTGCACTTTCTGCTTTCTGAGGGGATTTGGTTTCATCAGCACCATAAAAAATAAAAACCCTAACCTTTGTCACTACACTCAGCTACTTCAAGGCTTTCCCTGCAAGATTTCTTGACATTTAGTTCAAATCCTCTCTCCTAGATAGTGACTCCCACTCTTGTGAAAATGCCATGACAAGTCAGAGGAGTCAGTATGTATTCCCACTGGGTTCTGACAGCTGCCAACAGGGGAGGTGAACACAACAATCCCACACCAACAGTCACGGGTTGGGCATAACAAAAGTCTAGTCTCTGACGAGTTTTTCAAAATTACGTGTTTAAAGTGGACTGACTCTGGTCATGTGTCAATTCAGGCAACTCTGAGCTATAGTGAAACAAATTCCTTGGAGCACAACATCAACTGCTTGATGACTCCGACTATTATAAGGACCACCCCGCACCTCAGCACCAGTTTGGTGCTACAGACAACTTCGTGGGACTAAAGACTGAGACAACGTGTGGGATGCAGACATTACTCCAGTACATGCAATATTCATCCCAGCAGGAGAGCCTGAAACAGCATCTAATTAGTTGTTTTCCATATCTAACATCCTGAAAGCTCATTTCACATCCTTGCAATTGAAAAATACCTATTTATTCCATTTCCAGATGAAACATTAGAATACTGTCTCCATAATCTGCTACAGGGCCTCAAAATCCATTGCAAACGCTGGATGGATAATGAAGTTGTCGTAACAAGGAAAACAATCAAATCTTACACACAAATCTGCCCAGCAAACTCTCAAGAAATGTGGTGCAAGTGTAATTATTCACAAATAATGCCTTCGGCTATTTCTTTCAATTACTTTTCAACTATAAAGTAAAATAATTGTGACAGCACTGGAAAAAGAAAACTTTGCTTATTCCATATGGGCCAAAAGTGTAATGCAGTCTTTTGTGACCTTTGAACACAGGCTAAACAGACTCATCTTTCCTAAAAGTGTTTATAAAAGGGCAAGAGCTGGGGGGAGGCACTTGGGGCAAAAGAGGACTCACTCTTTATTCTCAGAATTTCTCCATCCTCCATGAAACAGAGATTACTTGTCAC